GATATTTCTATCTTTGGGTAATTTGTTATTTTCACTAGTGAAAAATAATATCATGTTTTTTTCCATTTGTTTGTTTTATAGTGAAAATAACAGTCGAGGTTTCTCGATATATTGGAAGTGAAAAAAGTTATATTATGAGATATTTATGTATAGATGTTTTATGTGTTGGAAATCGTATGCTACGCTCACTCGTGAGAAACATTTTCAATAATTGAAGATAAAATCCGTATCTCCGCGCGCCCATGCAATATCCTCTATATAATCACCGCGAGCCAATGCAATATCCGCTCAATTAATATTCACGAAACTATATGGCTTAAGTAACAATGCGCGTAAGAACTAGGGAGCTCTCTATTGTTGTGCGGCATAGCAAGTTCCCCATGTACGAATGTCTTGGTTTTCACACTGATTATGTATCCATTTGTGGGTAACACATTTTTGAAATAAAATGTGGATAAACTCTATTTTGAAACAAAGTTTCTTTTGTATTAAAAGCTCTTATCCAATCATAAGCACTCAAAACAATAGCTAAAAGATGCTTCTAATTTGCAATGTTCCCCACATAGAATTGCCTTAATATTGAAGCTAAAGAAAGCTTTCATGAAAGCGAAAAACGACATTAAATATAATATTAGAAAATTCGCTAACTTGGGAAATTATAGCAGATTTTCATGTTTTAACCAATGGGATGTATGGATTATACAATACACAATTAGCACCTTCTTGCATTCCTATGCCGTTTGCTTCCCTAGTTCTTACTCGGGGCATTACTTAAATTTTAAGAATATAACCCATCCCCCACCACACAAAAAAAATGAAAGAAAGAAAAAGAAAAGACAGAAAGAAGAAGAAGAAAAAAACGAAAAACAAACAAACAAACACAAAAAAACTATTTTTTCTTTGCATTTTTTTATCTCCTACAGATATTGATGAATGCCAATACAAAGTGTGTTCTCAAGACCAAACTTGTAGAAACCTTCCGGGAAGATACCAGTGCATTGATCGAGGTAAGAACACATTGCATTAGACTGTTGTGTAAAAGATAGATTCAACACCGTAAAAAAGTAGGTCAAACAACTTACCGACGTTTCGGACGTTAATCCTTCGACCGACGGGATGATTTGCTATATTAATTTTTCTATATACATCGACTCCGCATGTCTGCCCGCTATTGTGCAGCACAGTATAGCACACCACCAAAACGTCTCGCATAAAATGGTAGGCAAACTTATAGATATCAATTTTCCGTTTGTCTGAGTGTGTACTCTAATAAATACACAGATGAC